AAGCCACTTTGGGCATAGAAATCATGAAGCAACAAAGTAATGTTGATGTGGTACTTTTGCCGACGACAATTGAAGGTTGCGGATTAACAACAGCTATTGCAATAGCTATTAAAGGGTGCAATTCAGAAATAACAGTTATTGTAAGTTAATAGTTCTTCTGTATATATAACTTATATATTATTGTTTCACTAATTAGTTTATGTCAAGAAAAAGGTTATATTCACTTAGATAAATTATTTATATTATAATCTTAATTCTCTTAGGAAGTTCTAGGTACAAGTTTTGATTTATTCCAAGAAGTGAAAAAACAAACAGATTCACCTAAAGAATTGAATATTCCTACGAAAGAGTATAAAGCGTGTTCTATAAGAAGTATGCCGCATTCCGTGATTGACAGATTTATTTCGGTAACTCCAGAGTTGATTCATTCTGCATCCATACATCTACACAAGTCTGAATGTTACTACGATTGTTATGGAGCAATTGCTTTAGCTGCAATTTTATCTGGTCAGCTTAATGATCTACAAGGAAAAAGGTGACTTCTTCGAATTTTTTCGAATTTATTAATTCATTCCGTAGCAACGCGTTTTATATGTTTTGTAATCGTAATGTATGCACTATATGCAATTTAAATATCAATTTAATAATATTATATAATGATATTATGATTTTTTTTTCGCGCCAGGATAGTAATACCTTTATATGGTAGAATGGATTTGAGTGAAGAAGATTTTACAATAGATAGATATACCTTTAAACATTATCATCTGGAGCTGATTTCACGAGATCCAAACTTTGCATGACCTTTTTAACTTGATTTTATAAATCTGACAGTAAGCTGAATTATAAAAAAAAATTGTGTATCTATCGTAAGTAGATATAATCAGAAAAACAGAACAAGTCGCACAACTCGAAAAAAAATTCGATCAAAGTTACGAAAAAGACAGCTATGATGTTTTTAAATTGGAGACTGAATATTGAAATAATTTTATCAACAACATCCTATCGATATATCATATAGCACTGTAAAAATTCAATGTTGGAAATTTTCAATTATATCACAATAATAATCGACGTTACAATTATCAGTTTTGATGTGTAGCAAAATTGTAGTCAACTAAAGGCATACTTAGCATACAAAAAAATCATAATTGATATGACGTACTTCTCAACTTGATCATATCAACGGGTTTTTTAAATATTGACAGTACCATTTAATTTCATATAAATGTTACTTAAATCGTTTTAAAATTAGATTCGAATTGAAATATTATATTTCAATTCAAATCTAATTTTATAATCCCGGGAAGAATTTTAATATAAGGTATATCTTCTGTGGCTATAATTTTTTTTTAGAAGACAATTTCCCGGAATCCAACCGGATTGAACGAAAATTGATAAAAAAACATGTAGGCAAAAAATTGTAATTTTGGTACTCTGTATAAGATAATATAACATTACGAATATGCTTACTTATTTCTAGAACATTTGTATAATAAAAAATTAACAATTTAATGATATAAAATTTCAACCGGATATATTCTCGGATACCGAATAGTTTTCAGATATTCGGTGCATCTCTAGATTATACATACGTATATATTATATATATTATGTACATATTATATATAATTATATATATTATATATATATGATATAATAATTGTAATAAATTATA